TTTCTATCTGCCAAAAGCCACTAATATTGGCATAAATTATGTTTAAGTTAAGTTAATTTATAACAAATACTCACAACGATCGGCCGGTCCATGATGCGCGTGCTCAGTAATAATGATGATGATGATGACACTTTCCTGCTCCCGCCCAGCAGAAGACTCGGCCCACTAGGTGGGTGACAGCAGCAGAGCCACGCCCATCAACATCAAACTCCTCCCACTGTTGTAAAGATATTGCAACTACTGTACTGTAGAGGCAATCACCTGGATTTCGCATTAACCGGAGCAACGTTTTGGTTCTGTTGAAGCACCGTGTGACGAGTAGTAAACATTTACAAGAATAACAATGTCCTACTGTGTTTAGATTGTTAATTTCAGCTTGAGGGAAAGTCCACGCGTTTGTTAATTCATGTCAAAATCTCAGGTCGCGCGGTTAATGTTCGTCCGACTCGCTGGGCGAGCGACAGTCTTACAGCCGTCGTCGTCGTCGGCTACAGACGCAGCAGGAACTTGCCCCTGGGCGGAAACCCCCAGAAACCCCCAGAAACCCCCACACTCGTCACGAGCTGCGGCTCGGCCCGTTCAAGCGACGGCGTGTGACACTCACCAAGCCTCACGGCTTCTTGCTTTACATCTTGCCAAGCATTTGTCGATGATCCCTCATTTGCGGTGTCATATATTTATATATTTTTAATCAAATGTGGTCACCATGACGCCCGGCTCGGCGTGCACGATGGCCGATACGCTGTGAGGTATTATGGGCTACAATACGCTCTGGTTCGCCACGATACCCTGCGATACACTACGATATGATGGGCTACGATATGCTACGATACGGCTTTATGGGCTACAATACGCTACGATATGTGACGATACGCTACGATGCGATGGGCTATGATACGATGGGCTACGGTACGCTATGATATGATACTAAGACAAAGGACCCTTCCATGTAGCCTTAAGAGATTGTTGGGAATGTAAAACAAAGAAGAATAGGGTGGCAATGAAACAGAAGTTGTGTTAAGATGTCCAGCCATCCAAACAACGGCCTAAGTTGCTGCAAGGCATCAATTGACCACAGTACTTGTGGTGAACATGCAAACAAACACGCCCTGTCCATGGCAATGTTCGGTGGCATCGCCTCTGATTGCCCTTCAGCATCGGCAGCAGCAGCAGCAGGACGCTTCTCTCTGGCTTTGTCTCACCACCACCACCACCACCACCCAGGCGTGAAACCTAAAGTCGACCAGCAACAAAGACGGTTCTAGATTTGAAGCTTTCGTGACTGCAAGGATTCATATTCTTAGGTTTTTTCGGTAAAGTCACGTAGGTAAAAAAATAATAAAAGTAAGATAAAAGTAAGATACAAATAAAACGTCGTGATTTTTATTTTATTTTTATCTTGCTTTTATTAATTTTTATTTTTTTACCTACGTGACATTACCGAAAAAACCTAAGAACAACACAGACGGGCTGAGAAGTTGAACCCTGTCCTTACTGTAGTAGTAGGTTTTTACCCTTTTAAACTGGTACAAAACTGACACCTTTATTCAAGGCATCATGTTTGCAATAACCACAACACAAGTAGTCAAAAAAGCAAACAAAAAGAAGCAACTCTGATGATAATAATATGCACTGTCCTTGAAGTTGATTGGTCCACACCCGAGACGGCTTTCTTTAGAGCCTAGTCTCCATTGGTGTTGGACCAGATGACACCAGAAGGCGTACTACTTGTATTGTGGTTATTGCAAACATGATGCCTTGAATAAAGGTGTCAGTTTTGTACCAGTTTAAAAGGGTAAACACCTACTACTATATTTTGCCACTGGTAAAAGAGATCTCATAGTGCCTGTCCTTACTTTTCATTAGTTTTGATCGTGGCACAACAAAGGTCCTCGTCGTCACAGACTGTTGAGGCTACAGCTGTTGACCTGTTGAGGCTACAGCTGTTGACCTGTTGAGGCTACAGCTGTTGACCTGTTGAGGCTACAGCTGTTGACCTGTTGAGGCTACAGCTGTTGACCTGCTGAGGCTACAGCTGTTGACCTGTTGAGGCTACAGCTGTTGACCTGTTGAGGCTACAGCTGTTGACCTGCTGAGGCTACAGCTGTTGACCTGCTGAGGCTACAGCTGTTGACCTGCTGAGGCTACAGCTGCTGACCTGTTGAGGCTACAGCTGTTGACCTGCTGAGGCTACAGCTGCTGACCTGTTGAGGCTACAGCTGTTGACCTGTTGAGGCTACAGCTGTTGACCTGTTGAGGCTACAGCTGTTGACCTGTTGAGGCTACAGCTGCTGACCTGCTGAGGCTACAGCTGTTGACCTGCTGAGGCTACAGCTGCTGACCTCTCTAGGCCGGCAGGCCACGTCACGCCCGGCCACCTTGGTCTCTCCCGGGGCTGGTGTTGGCACACGCTGCTGTTGATTTTCTCCACGTGACGATGATGACGATGACGATGATGGTGATTATGATGATGTTGAGCTCTCGTTTGTGATGGCCACGTGGCTTGTGGAAGAGGGCTGCGTAGCTGATTGGGCCTCGCCGAGTAAGATCATGAATACGGTAGTTTAGTTTTATTCGTTTTTGTTTACCTTTCCCTGTTGTGTGTTTGTCTCGTGTGTTGTTGTCACGTTCTGACCCCGTGCTCCGACTGGACATCTCTGCAAAAAGAGCTTCGTAGCTCATCGGATTCCCCCTCCTGCCGTGTAAATACTGATTCTGAACTTAGGGGAGGCCCGGCACCAGTTGTGAGCTCCGCTTGCTCAACGACTCAGTGACACAGACAGTGACACAGACGCAGCAGTGACACAGACAGTGACACAGACAGTGACACAGACAGTGACACAGACGCAGCAGTGACACAGACAGTGACACAGACAGTGACACAGACAGTGACACAGACAGTGACACAGACGCAGCAGTGACACAGACAGTGACACAGACAGTGACACAGACAGTGACAAGACGCAGCAGTGACACAGACAGTGACACAGACAGTGACACAGACAGTGACACAGATAGTGACACAGACAGTGACACAGACAGTGACACAGACACAGACAGTGACACAGACAGTGACACAGACAGTGACACAGACGCAGCAGTGACACAGACAGTGACACAGACAGTGACACAGACAGTGACACAGACGCAGCAGTGACACAGACAGTGACACAGACAGTGACACAGACAGTGACACAGACGCAGACAGTGACACAGACAGTGACACAGACAGTGACACAGACGCAGCAGTGACACAGACAGTGACACAGACAGTGACACAGACACAGACAGTGACACAGACAGTGACACAGACAGTGACACAGACACAGACAGTGACACAGACAGTGACACAGACGCAGCAGTGACACAGACAGTGACACAGACACAGACAGTGACACAGACAGTGACACAGACACAGACAGTGACACAGACAGTGACACAGACAGTGACACAGACGCAGACAGTGACACAGACAGTGACACAGACAGTGACACAGACGCAGCAGTGACACAGACACAGACACAGACAGTGACACAGACGCAGCAGTGACACAGACAGTGACACAGACAGTGACAGTGACACAGACAGTGACACAGACAGTGACACAGACGCAGCAGTGACACAGACAGTGACACAGACAGTGACACAGACGCAGCGGTGACACAGACAGTGACACAGACAGTGACACAGACAGTGACACAGAGGTGACACAGACAGTGACACAGACAGTGACACAGAGGTGACACAGACAGTGACACAGACACGCCACTTCCTCCATGAATCACCCCCCTTGGGTGGAGACAAAGGCACAGATAAAGGTCCCCCATGTAGCCCACGCAGGCTGTTGGGAAAAGTGCAGTTAGCGAGCACACACACACATGTACAGACACACACACAGACACACACACAGACAAAAAAAGAGAAAAAGATCCCCCGTATAGCCTGAGCAGACTGTTGGGGCAAGTGCTGTTAGCGAGCACCTATGAAGGCCGGCACGGCACACGAGGGGCTGGGTGACCAGCACCACGCCCGGCCGCCTTTGTTTCCCCAGTGGCGATGTTGACACACCGCACCAGGCACTCATTTGAGGCTGAGTCGAGGGACGTGGTCTCACAACTACTATAGATATCACACGCCACTGATGTTTGCCATGGCAGGGAATTGAACTCGGTTTCCCAGGTTCGTAATGTATGTGTGTGTCTGGGGGGAGCGGTGGCGCAGTGGTTAGCACATTCCGCTAACCACGATTCCCGCACACGGCCAACACCGGTGACGATTATCTCTGAGCCGGTCCTGGGACTCCCCTGCATCGACTGGGCCTTAAATGAGTAGCTGGTGCAGTGTGCAACAACAAGCCTTCAAAGTTGCTCGCTGACAGCACTTGCCCCAACAGCTTCCGTAGGCTACACAGCGGATCTTTGTCTTTGTGTGTGAGTGCGTGCGCGTGCGTGTGTCTGTGTGTGGCAATTATCTTGAACCGGCCAACACCGGTGACGAGTGCGGCGTGTGAAACATCGCCGGTGGGGAGACAAAGGCGGCCGGGCGTGGTGCTGGCCACCGACCCCCTCCCCCCCCTCCCATCGCGTGCAACCCGTGCCGGCCTTCGTAGGTGCTCGCTGACAGCTCTTTGCCCCTACGGCCTGTCAAGGCTAAGCGGGGGATCTTTGTCTTTGTGCGCGCGCAAGAGTGAGCACGTGCGCGCGCGTAACAGCCGCCGCCCCCCCCAGCCCCCCCCAGCACCCCCCCTCCCGTCTCCCCTCGCCTCTCCCTGTCTCCACTGCCCAATCACCGGTGGTTTCCTGTGTTGGCACAAGTGGGGGGATGGAAGGCGTTGTGGTGGTGGTGGTGGGGGGGTGGTGGTGGGGTGGGGCGGAGGGGCCGGGCGGGGGGGGTGCCTAGTCCCCGTGGCTGGCCCAGACGGCGCCCCATTTTCTCAGGAGCCCGTTGTTTTTTGGGTTTTGGTCAGTCGTCTCCTGCGAGCCCGCGCCACGCTCCGCCACCTCGGATCCCCGCGTCCCTCCCGGCCCCAGGAGCGCTCCCGAGCGAAGCCCTCGGCGGCGTCTCCTCGCCAAGGAGACCCGCAGCAGCCACGGAGCTCGTCGCCGGGACCCCCCCCAACCCCCGGAGTCTTTTGTGCGCCGAAAGTTTGTCTCTTCTCGTGACCTCCGCCTCCTCCGCCGCCGCCGCCGCCCGCGGCTCCGTCTGCCCGGCCGTCTTTGTTGGCGCTCGCGGGGGATGCGGCGGCGGCAACAGCTGGAGCCCAGGGTGAGCCAGGGTCTGTGCGCGCCGGGGTCTGTCCGCTGCTGAGCGACTCGCCGCGTCGCCCGCGGGGTGCTGGCCAGAGGCGGCGGCGGCAACAAAAGAAAAGAGAGAGAGAAGGGAGAGAGGGAAGGGAGAGAGGCTGGAGAGAGAGGGAAGGGAGAGAGGGAAGGGAGAGAGGCTGGAGGGAGAGAGGCTGGAGGGAGAGAAAGAGAGTGAAAGAGAGCCATTGGCAAGTCTTGGTTGTGAGTTTCCGAGGGAGCGGTATTGTGCAGCACGCGGTGAGAGTGACTGCAGCAGCAGCAGCGGCAGGGAGAGATGTCTCTCTAAACAGCTCAGTGGTGGATGATCTCACATGTCATTTGTCGGGGTGATTATCATCCTCGCTGCTGTCGGACATCGTCTCTCCACACCGTCATCGTCATCATGATGCATCATCGCCGTCGTCGTCATCATCTTCCACGGCTTATTTGGAGTTTGCGTCTCTCTCTCTCATCATCATCACGGTGGCTAGGAGATGTTAACTACCTCGCCTGGTATGCAGGAGGTCGTGGGTTCGATCCCGACCCTGACGCCTGCTGCTGTGTATTTGGAGTTTACGTGTCTCTCTCTCATCATCATCACGATGGCTAGGAGATGTTAAATCGTTCGCCTGGTGTGCAGGAGGTCGTGGGTTGGATCCCGACCCCTGACGATGCCTACTGCTGTGTATTTGGAGTTTGCGTGTCTCTCTCTCTCCCGGTGTTGGCCGCGTCAATTTTTCTGCCGGGTCCTCCGTTTTTTCCCCCTCCACATTTAGAATCAACGTCACCACGCGCTCAGAGTCTTTGTGCTGCTGCTGCTACAAATTTCCACGCGTGGATGATGATGATGTTGATAAGGCCACTTCGTTCCAGCTATGAAAAAAGAGCTCTATAGCTCAGTGGGCCTTACCTGGTGACATGAATGAATAGTTGAGTTTTTAGTTTCGTCTCGGTGGCTGGGGGATCAACTCGGCCCATCATCCCTCGCTCTGGGGGACGGTAAAGTGTGCACAGGCTTGTTCTGGGAGTTTCACGACAGCGGTTCTTTGACAGAGAGACTCACCCCCCCCCCCCCCCCCGGCCACAGCACGGCGGCTAGGAGATGTGAACGACCTCGCCTGTCATGCAGGAGGTCGTCGGGTTTGATCCCGACTCTTGACGATGCCTGCTGCTGCTGCTGCTGCTGCCTGCTGCTGCCTGCTGCTGCCTGCTGCTGCCTGCTGCTGCCTGCTGCTGCCTGCTGCTGCTGCCTGCTGCTGCCTGCTGCTGCTGCCTGCTGTATATTTGGGAGTCTGCATCTCTCTCTCTCCTCGTGGTGGTCGAGTGGATTTTTCTCTGGGGTCCTGCAGTGCCCCCCCCCCCCCTCCACATGTAGAATGGACGTCACCACGGTCACCACGCGCCCCGAGTGTCTGTGCCGCGATGGATGTCCACGCCATGGTCACGGCGACCACGAGCCTCACTCTCGTTGAGCTGTCGCTCGTGGTGGCCACGTCGCTTCTCACAAAGGGGACTTACCCCGGTGACAACAAACAGTGCGGTGCTGCAGCAGCAGCAGCAGCCAGCAGCAACCAGCAGCAGCCAGCAGCAGCAGGCAGCAGCAGGCAGCAGCAGCAGACAGCAGCAGCAGGCAGCAGCAGGCAGCAGCAGCAGGCAGCAGCAGCAGGCAGCAGCAGGCAGCAGCAGCAGGCAGCAGCAGCGGAATTCCCAACGGGAGACAAAGCAAACTCTGCGCGGGCCCAGCTGGGAGCGCCGGGCGGTGGCGGCGGTGGCGGTGGTGGTGGCGGTGGTGGAGGTGGCAGTGATGGTGGCGGTGGTGGTGGCGGTGGTGGTGGTGGTGGCGGTGGTGGCGGTGGCGGCGGTAGTGGCGGTGGTGGAGGTGGCGGCGGTGGTGGAGGTGGCAGTGATGGTGGCGGTGGTGGTGGCGGTGGTGGTGGTGGTGGCGGTGGTGGCGGTGGTGGTGGAGGTGGCGGTGGTGGTGGCGGTGGTGGAGGTGGCAGTGATGGTGGCAGTGGTGGTGGCGGTGGTGGTGGTGGTGGCGGTGGTGGCGGTGGTGGTGGCGGTGGCGGTGGTGGAGGGGAAGTCGTCCTTGTCTAGTTGTCTCCCTGGGTCTGTAGCAGCGCCAGGAGACGCTCTCAAGGTGACTTCGAGCCGCCGCTGACGCGCGCGGTGCGTACGTGGCGTTTGTGCGCGTGTGTGAGTGTGTCTGTGTGTGTGTGAGTGTGTCTGTGTGTGAGTGAGTGTGTGTGAGTGTGTGTGTGCGTGAGTGTGTCTGTGAGTGTGTCTGTGAGTGCGTGTGTGTGTGTGCGTGCGTGAGTGTGTCTGTGAGTGCGTGTGTGTGCGTGTGTGTGCGTGCGTGTGTGAGTGTGTGTGCGTGAGCGCTTGTGTGTGAGTGAGTGAGTGTGAGTGAGTGCGTGAGTGAGTGCGTGAGTGTGTTAGTGAGAGTGCTTTAGTGAGTGCGTGTGTGAGTGAGTGCGTGTGTGAGAGTGCGTGTGTGAGAGTGCGTGTGTGCGTGCGTGTGCGTATGAGTGTGTGAGTGAGTGAGTGTGCATGCGTGCGTGAGTGAGTGAGTGAGTGCGTGTGTGAGTGAGTGTGTGAGTGAGTGCGTGTGTGAGTGAGTGAGTGCGTGAGTGAGTGAGTGAGTGCGTGTGTGAGTGAGTGAGTGCGTGTGTGAGTGCGTGTGTAAGTGAGTGCGTGTGTGAGTGAGTGCGTGTGCGTATGAGTGTGTGTGTGAGTGAGTGTGCGTGCGTGCGTGAGTGAGTGCATGTGTGAGTGAGTGTGTGAGTGAGTGAGTGCGTGTGTGAGTGAGTGAGTGCGTGAGTGAGTGAGTGCGTGTGAGTGAGTGCGTGTGTGAGTGCGTGTGTGAGTGAGTGCGTGTGTGAGTGAGTGCGTGTGTGAGTGAGTGCGTGTGTGAGTGAGTGAGTGCGTGTGTGAGTGAGTGCGTGTGTGAGTGAGTGTGTGAGTGTGTGTGTGAGTGTGTAAGTGAGTGAGTGCGTGTGTGAGTGCGTGTGTGAGTGTGTAAGTGAGTGAGTGCGTGTGTGAGTGAGTGCGTGTGTGTGTGTGAGTGAGTGCGTGTGTGAGTGAGTGTGTGTGTGAGTGAGTGCGTGTGTGAGTGAGTGTGTGAGTGAGTGAGTGTGTGAGTGAGTACGTGTGTAAGTGAGTGTGTGTGGTGAGTACGTGTATGAGTGAGTGCGTGTGTGAGTGCGTGTGTGAGTGTGTGAGTGAGTGCGTGTGTGAGTGAGTGCGTGTGTGTGAGTGAGTGAGTGCGTGTATGAGTGAGTGTGTGAGTGCGTGAGTTAGTGAGTGAGTGCGTGTGTGAGTGCGTGTGTAAGTGAGTGAGTGTGTGAGTGTGAGTGAGTGTTGTGAGTGCGTGTGTGAGTGTGTAAGTGAGTGAGTGCGTGTGTGAGTGCGTGTGTAAGTGAGTGAGTGGTGAGTGTGAGTGAGTGTGTGAGTGAGTGTGTGAGTGCGTGTGTGAGTGTGTAAGTGTGTGTGCGTGTGTGAGTGAGTGAGTGTGTGAGTGTGTGTGAGTTGAGTGTGTGAGTGA